TCTAGTTCATGTTTTGTGGCTGTCTACCAGTGTTCTCTAGTGTATAATGGATTGGACTATGTCACCTTTGGATTTTCTTATTCAGCCCTGGGCTGTGGATTACACATTAATATAAAAAATGGATGGATGGATGGATGAGTTTGGGATTATAACTGCAAAACAGGTATTACACAAATCTGATCTGAATACTTGCTAATTCCCAAAAAGCCTATAACAGCCAGTAATTCAGATTCACTGATGCACACAGGCAAACGTGCAAATGCACACTCTAAAAGCAAAACACACACGCCTTATTAAATAACAAATCAACATCTGGGATGTATCGGTGTGAAATCTCAAACACTTCGGTCTGTAAAGCCATCTTAACTTTCCTTGCTGCACTGGAGCTGTCAGTTATTCAACCTGTGTTTATCCTTCCTTACCTCAGGGTCCAGGTCACAAATCAACACAACGTGTCTGACTTGACATGACAGCTCCAATAAAGTACTGTTGGTGGTTTAGCTGTAGCCCTGCTAATACAGTAAGGCGAAGAGACGTGTCTAGCACCTTTTGTTCCATTGTTTTAGTGCCTAGTGTGTCCTGATGTGCTCTGCCTTTCAGTCCTTCGCCTTCCTCTGTCTTGCTGGCCTCCACCTGGTGTCGTCATCTGTTATTTTTACTTCATTTATTACTCTTTGTGTTTTTCCCCCCACGCTCTATCTTTGTCTCTTTTGGTTGCTCCTCCTCTCACCAAAACAGTCATTCAATACCAGGGATCTGATCTTCCAAGCGGGGAGTGAGCAAGTTGTGTTGTGAGATGTTACAACATTAGAAAGCAGGCAGCCTGCGGGCCTCGTCATTTAGTCTAATTGATTCTCTTAATTGTCTTAGGAAGACCAGAAAGTTCCTGCCTTTTTCTCCCCGTCTGTCTTTCAGCATGTTAATCATGCCCATTTGTGGCGGATGTTCGCCAGCGGTGACTTAAAACCGTCTGACGCAAATTCCAATTCAGCCTACACCCCCCCAGACACATCGAGCAGATGTGAAATTCATTTTGATGAGAGGAGCTTAAAAAGAACGAGGAGATGCAATAAAAACAGATTTGTTAGGTGTGAACTGCCTAAGAGACGCTGTCCTTGCGTAAGCTTAAGCAAGCTAACACAGGCAGCCTTTTTTTAGCTAAAAGTCTTTGATAAAATATACTCTCATAGTCCTTGCAAAGTTAGCCTTTTATTGTTTTGTGAATTAATATATTATTCAATTGCTGCCTCGAAAGAAAGGGGGGAAAAAAAGGCTGAACACTAAGAGGAGACAAGGACAAGCTGGACTGTGTGAATTAAGACTTGTTTTTAAAAGCAGAATTTCAGCAGTCCCTGTTGACCCTCTTAACACAGTCTTGATAATTAATGATACTCTTGTCTTTCCTTTTCTTTTTTTCGACAAGGGTCCCTCTTGATTGCTGCCCTTCTCAGGCTTGTTGTGATTGGTTCAATACACAGTGGCTGACCGGAGGCCTGGCTAACCAATCAAAGACAGTTAATTAGCGCCATTGCTTTCCCATCATCCTGTGTTGAGGACTCTGTAGGTTCTACCTGTCCGAGTCTTTACCAGGCCTTTCCACCTCGCCTCGTCCCTCTCATTAGCAGGCTGGAGTGGCAGGACAATCACACTGAGCTCTGGTCCAAGCCTGGCATGCTTGTACACACACACACGCATTGTACACACATTCTTGTACACTCATGTCTCACACACAATAATACACTCGTACTCACAGGCACAATCAGTCGATCACTTCAGTCTCTCTCTCTCTCTCTCTCTCTCTCTCTCTCTCTCTCTCTCTCTCTCTCTCTCTCTCTCGCTCACACAAACACACACACAAGCCCTGGCCTGGTCCCAAGAGTCCTTTCATGGCCAGTGATTGTCATTCGCAGCTGGCTGTATGACCTTGATAGGGATAAGAGAAGCACCACTGAGGGATGCTATTGCATACTCTCACACACTCATGCACACTGGAGTGGAAATTCTCCCTTAGAAAATGTTAGGATATAGGGAGTGTGCCTTGAGTTGGTCTGGAGTGCGTTTGTGTTTGTTTGTGTGCATGTCTGTGTATACAGAATTTGCCCGGTAATGATTTAGTGTTTCTTTGGACCATCTTACACTTTCTTTGGCAGACTTTACATTGCACACCAGATTTTTCTTTTGATTTTTGACACACACACACACACACACACACACACACACACACACACACACACACACTAACACTAAAGTGAATTTTTACAAGTTATATAAACAAGATGTCTGTGTGTGTATACATATTTGTACATACCTGTGTTGCTTTTTCACTGGTTTTTGTGTGTTGCCCTCCTGACACCTGACAGTAGGAGGTGTTATCGATGTTTAAATACACACAAAAACATGCGCACTCAGGTTCCGACCCATTGTTTTGGTGCTCATTCTCTCTGTGTGCTCAGAGGTGTTTGGTGTTGCGGCGTTGCGCCACACCTCCTGTCATCTTCCCGCAGTATCACGAGCCCCACAGTCTTTCATGTGTGCTCGGCTGGTAATGAGAGCTGATAGAAAGAGGTGAGATTCTCCCATCAGTCCTCCCACACTCACAGAGGGAGACAGACTCAGTGGAGACAAAGCCACTGGGTGCACGTTTCACTGCCAGCATGTGTGCAAGTCAGAGCATTTGTGTGTGTGTGTGTGTGTGTAGGTGTAGGTGCGGCACAGATTATCACACTTCTCCCCCACGGAGACATCTCCTAATCACAATAAACTTCTCCTGACACTTCAGTTACTCTTCAGCTCAAGTTCCCGTGTCTTTATCAGCAATCTCTCCCTCTCCCACATTCTTCTTCCTCCCCTCCCTCCTTCTGTGTCCTCACCCCCCCACCAACCCCCTCCCATCCTCCCTGTACGTCCTTTCTTGTTTTTCCTCAACTCTCCCCGCATTTCTTCAAGTTTGACACCCAGCCATCTGTGAATCCAACTAATATTGCACCTCATTCCTTTTGGGGGGGGGGGGTTTCTTCATCTGACCCAGTTTGTCACTCTCAGCAGGTGCTGGCTGCCTCTATGATTACTGCTCAGAAATATCTCTGTCCTGAATGACAGCTATTGCACCTGTGTGTGTGTATGTATGTGTGTGTGTGTGTGTTGTGTGTGTGCACGCAAAGGTGGGTTTTGTATATCAGCGTTTATGTCCTCATAAGGATTGAAAGATGGGGAAAGTACACAATGACTCACTGTCATTATTGATGATCAGGGGTTTCACAGCTCATAGTATTACTGCTGTTAAACAAAGATCTCTCAGATTGCAAAGAGATGAACAAGGCTAAGAAAACTGGAGAGGAGGGTGAGAAGTGAAAAAGGGGAAGGAGAAAGATAATGCAAGAGCAGTAGGGACCAGACAAAGAGTTTCTGTAACACTTTTAACATTTCTCTCCCATCATTTGGTATTACAAACAAAACGAGCCGAGGGAGTGAGTGCAAGAGGATACAGTCCAGAGTATGGATGAAAGGATGGACATATTAGAGAAAGTAACAAGCGGGGCCTGAGCGCGAGAGTGAATAGAGGGAAAAGATGAAGCGGGACATCGAGATAAATGGCAGAGAGCTTTGGAGAGGCTATAAGGGCTTCAGCTTCATCTGGCATATAGGCTTGTAACACTGCAGTCTCATCTCCCATGCTCTTTCAAGTGGGTAGTAGAAAGGCCTTCATTTTTAGCTGCTGTCCCATTGAAGCGCGCTGTCATTAAAGGTGACCTCATGACACCCTTCTGATCACGAGGCGCAGTGCAGGGGGACCGTTTAGATCCTTGGCACACAGACAGCACTGAGTCCCACAAGGATGTCATAATGGTGACAACCCTGTATGTGTTTATGTGGGTGCAGCATTCACTGGCAATTGAAGTATTTAGACATCCTCTACGTGTTTAGACAGTGACACATTGTTGTGTTGTTGGCAGCCTTTATTTTGAGGGTGTTCACATCACACCAGAGGGGGGAACATTTCAGCAGAAAGACAGCAGAAAGACAGCACTACTACTGTCTGCACTATACATGTTGCTTAAGGGCATATCGTCATTCATAAAATACTTTTAGATCTCAGTTATGTTTATCAGATTTGTGATTTGTGTTTCATTTTAGAGGAATTGTTTGACATTTTGGGAAAGACCCATACAGGCATAGATGAGAAAATTGATACCTCTGTCAGGTGTGTACAGTAAATATGTAGCTGAAGCTAGTAACTAGTTAGCTTAGCTCAGCATAAAGAGTGAAAAGAGGGGGAAACAGCTAACTTTGCTCTGTCCAAAGGTAGAGAAATAGTCTAGCACCTAAGCACCCCAAAAAACACTTTATTTTTGTAAGGGTTAAACAAAGCAAATGTGATTAGTGATAATTAGTGAGCTTTGAAGGCGCTGTTAGGCATGTTTTCTCACCTTTGGATAAAGCCAGGGTAGTTGTTTTCCCCTTTCTCCAATCTCAGTCTCAGCTGAACAATTAATCATCATGTCCCTTTGCAAGAAAAAATCAAGGTGTTTAAGTGCTCTAGTCAATAGACATTTTGACATGTCATAGCAAGAAAAGCACAGGTGTATTAAATAACATAAATGATGGCTGTACTCCACTTGGAACAATGCCTTACTGGAACATAGCCATTGTTAATATCGTGTGCTTTCCCTTCTATGACAGGTCAGAATGTATGCTGTGAAAAAGGTCTGTGCTGTGAACTATCTGTCTGTATGCATTGTGTTATAACATACAAAACTTTGTTGTCTACACATCAAGTTTTGGCAATTTTGTTTTATTATTTTTATCATGATGTTTCCCTCTCTAACATCTGCCCCGAACTCAGCATCTGCAAAGATCTACAAGGTCTGTGGCTCTTGTTGCTGTTTTCACCGTGCTATGTTAATCTAACATGCTGTGTTATCTGTGTTTCTTTTTGTTTTCTCCCAACCTGCCTGCATTCCTGTTGCTGGGGTATCTGTGGATGCTGTTGGCTGCTGCAGTCTCATGTGAGTATATCTATCCAAAAGGTCCGTGGGTCAGATCACTCCTGTCTGAGACAATAGGATGGTTATCCAAGTAACTTGGCAGCGCTCCTCAAAAACATCACTACTGTGTGAGGCTATCTCAGTGTTTGGCTTTAAATCTTCCTCGCATGGGGAAACGACACAAATGATAATCTACATAACATTCACACTTAATTATCAAGGAATGTATTTTTATATTTATTTAACTGTTCCACTTTCCTTATCTAAAATGAATCCTACTGTGCATGAACAAGTGGTCACAGCAGGACTCCAGTGCTCAGGGAGATGATGCTAACTTTCTTATTTTACATGAGTTGAATTTGCAAACTGATGAAATCAAATCAAAGTCTTGTCTGATATAAATATTTAATTGCTAGCTATCAGGGATTTGTATCACCATTCAAGGCGCAGTAAGCTCCCTTTGCTCAAATGTATTTCAATAATTTTTAATAAAACATGTTTTTCAGTACACTGTGAAAAAGGAAAAAGCTTTGAATTGTTCGAGTTATTGATGTCAGTGTGTGTGTGTGTGTGTGTGTGTGTGCAGGTGATTTCAACAGAGAAGTCAGGGAACCATATCTTCCGACTGACAGGTCCCGGTGCTGACCAGGATCCCAAAGGTCTCTTCACCATTGACATAGACACAGGAGACGTGTCAGTCAGCCGCTCACTGGACCGGGAGGCCATTGACTCCTACCAGGTCAGTGTGTGTGTGTGTGGGGGGGTTGCCTTTGTTTGACCTGGTGCTTACTGTGTTTGTCTGTATGTTCTTTTCTCTCCTTTCTGTCCACCTGGGCAATCTTTCTCTCTCTGGTTCTTGGACACATGTATTGTTTCCCTGTTGTCAGTGTTCATGTAATCCACTGATTATTTCCTTTTCAACTCTGTCAAGTTATTCATGAGACCGTGTAGTTCAAACAGAATTTACTATGATTGCATTCGGCATATGGGGAAAAACTGAGGAGTTATTGGTTGGTTTGTGGAAAAGCACTTTGATTTTGTTACACAACTATTCATGTAATGACAGTGTTATTTGGGAACGGATGGGCTTCGTATTTTGTCAACGCTGAATTGATGCTCAGTCAGAAGTTGGTAGTTTCCTCTGTGATAAAAGAACATTTGAGCCTGTTTGAGGTGCCTGCCGGGTTTGGTGCCCTCTGGGTTGTCTGCCTGACGAAACCATTTCTCCTAGAACAGAAAGGGAGAGCGAGGAAGAGAAACGCTACTTTTTTCAGTCAGTCAATTGATCTTATCCTGTTTTCTAAAACCAGACGTGAGTACGGGTGTTGAGCAGAATGCAAGCTGTTGATAAGCTAACTGGCTTTTGTAAAAACTTAGAAATAATTCACTCTGTAAATACCAACAGATGTGAGAAGAGAGCAAACAGAAGAGGAACAGAGGGGAAAGCTGAGAAGAGCAAACAAATATTCACCAAATTTATTTTGTCTTTCCCGGCTTCTGTGTCATTTCTTACTATTACGTGCATGGCGTGACCAGGACATTGTGTTTCACCTTCACACCCAATAACTGAACATCCCTGAATATGGAAAGAAATGATGATCCAGTAATAGAGGCAGTACTTCTTACTGTCTGTTGACACTACAGCCCGTAACACTGTGAAGATGTGGGTTTACACAGGTGTTGGAAAGCAAATGTAAATGGAGCAACATGTTTATATTAAACATTAACCCTAATGGTATGGAAAAGAGCCAGGTGTGAGCCATGAGTATGAGCTAAACTTGGTAAATCTGAGTTTTGACATGTACATTCATTAAACCAAAACCAAGTTTCTGAAGTAAACATAGCCAATGAGAAGGGTGACCTAGGCCCAGCAGGCTGGTCCAGCTTTGGGATTCTCCACACCCAAAGCACTGTGGATGAGCCTGTATTAAGAGCGATACTCAGGATTCAAAGAGTCGTGGAGAGAGTGCTGTCTTTTATCTAGAACTTTCCAAAACCTAAAACATGTAGGACGTGTGTTTATCTGCTGCACCACCAACTGTCTGGCTACCACTAACCAAACATTATTTCCAATGCTAAGGAGCACATCATTAACTAATGATGAAACTAACTAGGTTAGTTTGTGTGGATACAAGGTTTCATAAAAAAAGTTTCAACAAGCACATTGCTGGTGCTGTCCGGCTCGTTATTGGATTTGGGGAGATTTTAACAACAACCAACCCCAGAAAGCATCCCCTTGGATGGCATTACATTTGCTAAACACATTGGTTAGTCCTCAAAGGTTAGTGTTAAAACTGCAAACATACTATTTAAAAAGATATGAAAACATAGGGCTATAACAGCCAAAAGGGGTAGTCTTAGAACAAGTCAAAATGATCTGGTGTCACATTTTCCCAAGTCATCCTTAGGATTATCTAGCTTTACACTGCGATACAAAAAGAATGATGTTTCTTTATTGCGATTTTACATGGCGCATTAGCTGGTGAGGTCATTTAGCACAATAACATGTATGTAGCCATCAAGTGCATAAACCCCTTTTACAGGATTATGCTGTAAAATGCATTTTCAAAAAACTCATTGAGCTTACAGTTGTTTAATTACCTAAAAAATCAACTAGTTGTCATTTCAGCGGTAAAACTGTACATTTTGTGCCTCTTTCAAGTACTTGCAGTATATTAAATTTAGAATTCAGGCAGATACTTTTTTCACTCTGTCAGCATTGCTACTGTAATTTACAAAACAAAGATTATAGATACACTCATAGAGATAGCTGCACAAGCACACGCCTTCAAAGCAACCACCCTTATCTAATAGTTTTTCTAATATCCCCAAAGTGTAGTGACAGTTCAGTAAAATAAAGTTTTTGGGTCCTTGTTGGCTATAACAAAAGTTGGTACATAAAACTCTGGGGAAGACAAAGAGAACTGGAAAAGAGGACAGTGAAGAAGAGAGACAATCAGAGAATGAGGGTCTGGGAAGGTTTTTATTGTGTTCTGCATAGAAAAAGTTTAGTTCAGCACAGATATATTTAATGACGCAATGAAGAAAGAATGGTGGCAGAAGTGTGGAAAAATAGGAGACTTCTGGAGAGTTTGAAACAAAATCCTGCACACAGACAGATCTAACATATTTGTAGATTTACTCAATATCAAAATAGTATTCATTAATTAATATAATTTTAGGCCCAAGGATAAAAATGATTCACTTATGATGCAGGAGATCATAACCTGAAATACAATGTATACATAAACATTGGCTAGCAAGTCTGTCAAGGATTATTTTTTAGAACAACTAGCTACAGATTGTATTACTTTTTAGTACATTACCTGTCCAAAAGTAGCTAATTGAGTTTGAATCCTTTATCTTCCTTTACTTTCATCTTTGACTGATCTTTCTCTCTCTTTCTTTGCTGCCTCAGATGCTGCCTGTTTTTGTTACAAGGAGAATTGTGTTGAAGCCTGTTATTTATTGGAATAAGCAATTTCAAAAATGTCTACCCAGTACTTGCATTTTGCTGTTGATTTCAAAATGCGACAGCACAATTCACGCATGATGAAAAACACTCTCACGCCTCTGGTTTGAACTGAAACAGACTTTATTGAAACTGTCAGTCAGAAAAGGTAGCCAGCCATGAGTAAGACCAAAGAGATTTAATATTTTCAACTTGTCTCAACATTCCACCAATCAGATAACTTAAAATAACAATAAGTCATATATAATAATTTGTGGATTTCAGTTTTAACCACACCGAATGCATTTGTCTAGATTATGCACCGCCAACCGTTATGAAATTAATCTGACTTCCAAGATCCCCCTCTGAGTGATTTTGCCTTCATAGTCTGACCATAAAATTGCAGTGATTTAATTGAAGGCTCTAAATAATCCCATTGTATAGTGAAAAAACTGGACTGGACCTGGAATGAATTTTCTTTTTACGTCAATTATGCCATCAATAATAATCATCATTATTTCTGACCTGATAGTAATACCTGAAGGAAAGATGGTATGCCTCTCTATGCAAAAACTGTACATGTGCATATACAGGTATGTACACACATGTTACACATGCAGCTTTCACATTCTATCACCTGTTCTTGGTGGTAATGTGTTACAAAAGTAACGCAGTAATATAATCTCAGTAATGCACGTTACAACGCATTTTAACTCGAAATTAAGTGGTGTTTTATTTTTTAATAATTCACCAACACTGAGAAACATTTCGGCACCAGAAAAACAAACCTATGTGTAAAAGAGTAACGTTATTTCCTGTTGCGGGAATCCGATGGTCGAGATTGTATAGGCGGTGCAAACTACGAGGAAGCTCGGCTTATTTTAACAAGATGGGAGCTCCCCTAATGGATCATGCGTAAATAGATTTCTATAGGCTATGTGTTTGTGCTTTAACGAATAACAATAACTTTCATGATTATAGAGGCTGCTGTCAGTTCATCCTTACCGGTTCTGTTGGAGTGTCGGCAGATTCAAATAATGAATGCTGCTGTACCTCATTTGTAAATGCGCACACGTCTTTCTTAGTGGGGAGACGATTCATCCAATCCCCCCCCATAATTTTTATGACAAAGACCCACCCGATCCGACCCGATAACTCTGCACATCACTACAACCCACCTATGGAGCACATCTTACTTTCAGAATAATGCGCCCATTATATAGCAGTTAAAGTAACTCAAAAGTAATGTAAACGTATTGTAAAGCATTACAATTCTGAGACAGTGATATTTTAATATAACTAATTACTCTCAAATGATAGTAACTAGTAATCTATAATGTATTACATTTTGGAAGTAACTTGCCCAACACTGTCTATCACTGTTTTACTTCCTCCGTTCCCTGTCTTTCTCCCAACCAGGCCTGCTTAATATCTTGCTCCTCTTATCATACGGAAATCACAAGTCGGTGTCCCAGTCATAACTCAAAGCAAGGGTCTCCTATCAAATAGAGCTTCACCTTTTTATCGATGGTCCAACGCTGTATGCAGAATGAAAACTGTATCGCTTTTATAGAGCCCAGTGGTCCCTGCAGGCTGTCCCGGCCACACTCATTAAGGGTGTCTCCTTCTGCACTGTAGCAAATAGCTTGTGTGGGGATGATACATGAAATATTCAGAGGTAGATTAAAATCACCATTACTCTAAAGGCATTTTATAGGAAAAGTGAAATGTCTTTCACTATATGGCAAAGCCTTTTTAAAATGGTAGATGTATCTGTTAAAACTGCTACGATATATCATTATATTAAATTACTCACACAGAGACGGATGGGCAAAAATAAATCAAAATGTTTTTTTTAATAAGATACCAGATAGCGTAATTATAAATAAATAAATCAAAATAAATTACAAAATACAGCAGCCCCAACATGTAGCAATATAAACCATATTTTTGCATTTCAAAAAAATACTAAAAATACTTTCTCAAGGTACAATGAAATCACTTTGCAAACCTTCTAGCGGACTTTTTGATCTATCCCATCACCAGTACACTGACTCAGTTGATTGTGTACATTGTTTCACAGCAACAGCTTTTCTCTGCTCAATGAGTCATGCGATAAATCTCACATATGCAACCAGCTAACAGATCAGATATTCACATATCCATTTGAACACTCAGATACAAGTTAGTTTTAAAGTAACCAAAAATTTAATCTTAAACTAACAATTTGCTGAACTCTGAAATGCTTTAAAAAAAATTATTTATTTTGTGCACAACCAATGAAAACT